GAACTAGGCCTCGGTTAATTACTGCGTTCTCTTAACCCGTAAGATATTAAACAAGCAGATATATATAATATATATTACTTTGATTCACATGGGTGAGGTTCAGTTCGCTGGATTAATATTCCTACTGTTTTGGGTAATATTATTATATATAGGATGTGCTGTTAGGATATTTACGGTCACCATGTGCGTTAGTTTGATGATGTCCCCGGAGTGAATTCATGAAGGATTGTTATGCTAAACCCTGCAGGTCGATTAAATTCCGACATAATAAGAATGTGATGAACGAGCGCTAGCTTCGGTGAAATAATAATAAATTAATTAATTCTTGATTGTCAGTAATCGAATTAATTAATGGACATTATATCTTAAACGTGGAGAGGTAAATCGAGTAATTATTATTGGAGTCTCAAATGTAATTTGGGCTAGGGAAAGGGAGTGCAATAATATAATGTTGGTGGCCCATTAATATTATTTAATTAATTAGATGAGTGGGTTTGGCCCACAGTTAGTCTAATTAATTAAGGAGCCCTTTTCCTAATCTCCCTACTGTAGCTCTATATATACATCATTAAGCTCATGAGAAGAGATGAGAGTTCACATCTCACGTGAAACACGCCTCACACGCCTCTCTCTAGATCTCATTCGAGCTTTATCTTCTTCTTGTTGCTCCACTGGTACAAGTTGAAGAAGGGTGTATTGAGTAATACAGTAGAAGATCTGTAGGTAAACCGAGACGAAATATATTTTGACCTACAGAACTAACCGGAAGTCCGATTGAGACGTACAGTATACCCAGACAACCGTCTCGACGAGAGCTTTCCAACGCCACCGACGTCGCCGGAATCCGACGCCGCAAGCGCCCTCACGCGCCGCCGGAAGGCGCCTGGCAGCAAAATCTCGTTTTGATCTGTTTGCATCCGTTTGATCCGGTTTTGATCTGATCTTGTTCGTGCAACCCAAGACGTGATTTGCGGTCAATCAATTGCGGTCAACCGTTCGTGGTCAGCCAGATCTACATAAATTTTAAGCAGTAAGTTCTCTACGTCAAACCTTTAGATCCGCTGCGCATAGGTTTACGTTTGCTATTGAATTCGTGATTTGTACATAACGAGATCCTCACAGATCCCAACAATACAAAAGTAAATTTTTAATTTTAAATCAGCCGTACATTAAAAAGTTCAAATTTGTTGAAATTACAAAAATAATTTTTTATTTTAAACAGACGTAAATTTAAATCAGTTATAAAAAAATAATATTTGTTTACCATTTAAATATTAAATCAGTCGTAATTAATGTTGTTTGTTTTAGTTGCCACGATTTTCTCCAAACTAAATTAACAACTGCCATGATTTAAGGGCAACATTTAATGCTGCTCTTTTTTTAGGAGACATTAAATGTATTTGGCGGAAAAAACTTGCTAAAAGTGTTAAACGGTTAATCTTTTAATATAATGATAGATTTTAAAATGTGTGAAATCACATTCATACACTTGACACATACATACACTTAGACGCATTCCTAAAAGTGGATTTAAATCCGTTAATATTAATCTATCATAAAGGCGAGAAAATATCTCATTTCTTGCATGAACAATCATAACATGTAAAAACCACGCCAAAATGAAGTTTGAAATACTTCAAAACACTTTAAGGAAATAAAAAGTTCCATGTCCTTGTTTTTACATAACCTTGATAGAGCTTGAATTAATGAACTATGGTAAAAGGATATGATGGGCATTTGCAAGCAAGAGTCTTTTACTTCATAACTCCATAAATTTTCAGCATTCAAGCTAACGTGAGAAAAAGGGAGAAAACCTTTGACATATATTGAGATATTCCTTGAACCAATGAAACCAAAGAAACGAAAAAACTATCCCAATAATAGAAAAACATAAATACAGAATTTCACATGATCACCAACCTCCTCCAATAGCTCTTCTATATGTTCACTAAAATTACTCCAACTATCCCAACGTGAAAAAAAAATAAAAAAATAATAAAAAATAAGAAAAAAATTGACAAGCCTTCTAAACAATTTTAAGAGAATTGAGATAAAGATGAAAGTCTCCAAATAGAAATTTAACAATTGAACAATGAAAGGATATTCTATGGCTTGATAAATGTGTAGGTGCACACACATGATTTAATCATCCTGTAAATTGCATATCCAATATTAGCTTCAATATTAGGCTGTACAATTTGTTTTCCATAAGTATATACACTCAGATGAAAAACAGTACATACATCTTCTAAACAAAAGAGTGAACACAATGACCGTGCACTTCTGCTTACGTTATATACAAAATTTCACTCAATAAAGAATCAATTCTAACCATGGCAGCTTACCAAACAATACTGACAGTTAATTGGAGTCCCAGGCAGCAATGATAGGAAACTAAACATATTAGTGAGACTTACACTTACATGCCCATAAAGAATTGACCCTTGGCCCTACCAACCGTTACACAATTTCACTTTGGTGTTCGCATGTGAACATGGATTTTCATAACAACATGGCTTGAACATTGAGAAAAAGTTCATTCTATAAATATGATGGACCTCATAAGTTGTTGTTTCCATGAGGCACACAAAGGGAGGGTGAATTTGAATCCCTAAGCAAGATCACTTAGCTACTTAGTTGCTATGAGTGTGTCAAGGGAAAAAAAAAAATATTTGAACACATCCTATAGAATACAAAGCGGTTCGACATATTGAAGTATATTAAGACAAAACGGGGTATTCAAACCTAATATGCATTTTTCACATTGAAATGATAATCCTAAAGTTACCTCCAAGTTCAACTTTGGAAGATAGCTAATTAGCAGTTCGCTGAAGAACACCTGTGTTAGATGTAGTGTCTGCCACGGGATGAGATTCAGTGTCCCCATAAAGAACTTACTTTAATTCTCAGATGAACTTTCCCAACTCCATCACCTACACAGTATCACAACTAAAATGAGAAAGCACAAAAAAATTGTAGTGATGATCACTATACTAATAACTCTGCATAATCGCAATTCACACAATTGTCGATAAGAAAACAATAGGCCTAACAGAAACTATAATAAGGTCGAAAGAAAAAAAAATATGCGGACATCAATTGTCCACCACAGAACAATTTCTTTCCAATTCCAATATTCTAATTTTGTCACAATGTCAGCTACAAACACTACCAAATCACTAAAACCCATAAAATAACGTTGGAATGCTACCTTCTCATCGGGCTTGAGAGTCGAGCGCTCCGCCAACGGCAAAGATGAGTAGATCCCGCGTCTATCTGAACAAATTAGCAGGAGTCTTGTTAATTGTCTCATTTTCCAAAATTTTCCACTCTTTTATCTGTAAATAATGTAGATAGTAAGCAAAAGTTTTAAAAGGACCAATTCAGTCAACAAATCATTCTACTTTAAAAGGCCCAAGTATTGAAAATCTTCTTTACACATAAATCTATATTGTTTGGTTTTGAATCCTTTTCACATGGAGTTCTTAACAAAGAGCTACTACTAAGAAATTTCCAGCTTAAGAAAATGAAGCTGCATTGCATTACCTACTGTTGTTCCTACCATCTACTACAATGAAATGTATAAAAAAAATGTGATTTTCAAATTTATTTTTCCAAATATTCTAGTAATATTCTATAATGTCATAATTGTTCAACAAAAATAAAATACATAAAAGGAGAAGGCAAGAAGCAAAACCTGACACTCAATTAAGGTGCCACCAGATTGCACCAAGTCATCAACGATAACAACATGGCAGCCCGCAGGGTTACCCTCCTTTATTTTGACTATTCTCTTGTCTCCTTCCCGAGCCTTGTTGCAGATGACCTACAACAATTATCGCGATCCAGAAAATTCCCCAAAATGAAAATTCAAAAGCAACATATAAAGAAAATTAATGCTATATATAACATAAAAAAATACAAACCATAGGAAAATGATCGAATAGCTTGTGGAATCTTTTCCAAGCTCCATCATCAGGAAATGCAACCATGATCTATATAAATATAGAAGTTAGCCTAACAAATTAGATAAGGATCAAATGTCCTCATTTGGGACTAACATCGGGACCCCTTGAAGGACAACGGTATATGTTTCATAGAATATGCGCAATCACCTTATCTATCTCTGGAAGTTGCTGAAGCCGTTGCTTCAAAAGTGGGATTCCACTCTCAAACACAGGCAATACAGTATCACTGGAGCAAAATCTTTCCTGTAGAAATTAGCAGATAGAAAATACATTTCCTAAGGCATCATGGAAGTAAAATCTTCCATTTGTGAATAAAAACCATGAAACTTTAATAGCAATTTAGGACAAAAGAAGTTAAAGTAATAAAAAAAATAATCTTTTTTCATTTGTAACAGCAAATGCTAGGTGAATAAAATCGATTGTAGCTGGATGAGGTCTGAATGAGTTGCGACCTTGCATGCCAAATCTTCAGCTTCTACACAGTGGAAAAGTAGCACTTGCTTCTTTGGTCTCTCCATCTTCTTGTCGCACTCCTATGGGTTAAAGAGTGCATATATATCATTTTAGTAGCTTATCAATTTTAACATAACATAAGCAAAGAAAAATTAATAAAAAATAGATATACTAAATCAAAATGTATGAACATTGTACACCATTCTTGGTAAACAATGGCAAACTAATGCTTCAAGTTCATTAAAAATTAGATTGTAGATTGGCAGATTAAGGAAACAGAAGAAATGCACACATAAACAAATAGAGATATGAACTTCTATTTGTTTAGGAGTTCTACCATCAACCAAAAATATGGATAGGCATTAGGCAATTAACCTTCCAAATCCAGATCAAATTCCAGAGTAAGTTATATATGAGCCTGAAAATTTACAAATCCAATTTCTGGTCAAAATTGCAAAAAATCCTAAAATTATCTTCTGTCGTCCATCATAACACATCAGATCAGTGGGTATAGAAACCAAAACCACATGTCACAGACCACATCAAATTTTCAATTATGGGAATAGAAACCAAAACCCTCAACAGTAAAGCAACTAAAGGAAGGAGTGTAAAAGTTATACCCGTATGAGACTTTAAAAAATCCAGAAGCCGGCTACGGAAAACCTTCCTCAACCACAAATTTTCGCTAAGAGATTGAGACGTGCTCTTGCTTTGGGTTGCTTCAGCATTCAATAAGAGAGGACGGGGCGGCGACGTGAGGCGAGGTCCAGGCGGAGGTTGAGGCAAGGTCGAGGCAGAGACGTCTAACACTTTTCCTCTCTGGCCGGCGGCGTGAATTGGAGTTGAGACGAAGAAAGAGCGGACGGGGCTGCGGAGTGTGAGAAGTTGAAAAAAATGGAGAAAAGAAATAAAAACCCTATCAGTGTACGTCGTAAGAGCACAAGTCCCTTTGTTGATTTATCAGAATGCCCTTATATCTCCATGTCGGGGAGGATGGCGACGGTGAGCTCGTCGAAGTCGATAGCGCCTTTGTCGTTGGCGTCCATGTTGTCGAGGAGGGCGTGGATCTGGTTGCCGGAGGACTTGAGGCCGAGAGACCAGAGGAGGGCGGCGAGCTCGAGCTGGTTGAGGCTACCGTCGAACCGCTTGAAGTAGTTGTAGTGCTGACAGATCGTCTTTGCCATCGCGATTTTGGCCGGAAATATTTTGGGATAAAAAGAGGAAGCTTAGAGAGATGAGAGTGATAATTTTTTTTGGAAGATCAAGGATATACTAAAATAAATCTGTACTCAATCTTTCCTAAAATTTAGCTCCCAAAATTTTTAGGAAAATCTTATTTTTAAATTTTTGAAAAATTCAAACAGATTTGGTAGAGGCGGGATATTTCAATTTTTGTCAAAATATTTACTTAGTAATTCTGAAACTTTAGGCGAGAATTGAAATCTTTTTTTTTGTTGATTTTTTAGTTGATTTTTTCAAATAACTATCATTCCCTCTTTATATATTAATAGATTTTGCATATATGGCATGTAAATAGACTTAAGTCTTTGATGGCCTGGACAAAAATATAAAAAAGTAAAAAAATTAACTCTAATGCAAATAGACTAAGTGTATACTTAAGTCTAAAATGGACTCAAGGGTAGATCGAGCCTCATTTTCTTGCTGCCACATTAGCAGTACACAGTCCAATTACATTTGTATTGAAGTATATATTTTTCTAAACTGTTCTATGTGGCCCATATATTTTTTTTTTAAAGAACCCAAGGAATTGTGAATGCTCGTAGTATAAAATATATGGATCCCCACTCACCAACGTTCTGAATATGTAATAAGAGGACAACTTAATTAAGAGTTTTATTTAGTATGAAATGTATGGATCCCCACTCACCAACGTTCTGAATATGTAATAAATGGACCTATATTATGTAACTAACCTATGATCCAAAGTGACTAGATAGTAGATATACTAGGGGAGAGCAATTATGCGATTTTGCAACGAACCATAAATAACCGTAAATTTATCAAAAAAATAAAAAATAAAAAAAAATGAATCTTGTCGTAGAAAAAAAACTGTAATTATGCGATTGTGCTCCAAACCATAAATTACCGTAAATTTATCACAAAAAATTAATTGTCACAACATAGAAAAAAATTGTGAAAGAATAAAAAAAGAAATCACTAAAGTTATAAAATTTTATTACATAAAATTTTATAAGTAATAATTACCAATTACAATTTTAATGTGTGGAAAAAGCTCATATCCATGTGACTAATCTGAACTACTAGAAATTGACATTTTCAATTACGAAGCACACAAATTGGCACGGTCTAATTGATTTTAATCGCTTTTTTAGAAATAAATATTAATGATTAATTATATTTATAATTATATAAAAATGACACAAAATCAACTTAAACAAAAATTAAAATTGAACGAAAAATAAATATAAGAATATTGTAGCAATATTGAGTTTTGAACCTTAGGCTTATATACAAGTTATGAATTATAGGGTCATATTTCTCTCTCTCTTCTCTCGCCCAAATCAACTCGCCATAAACCTAGCCTTCGCCTTCGCCGCCGGCTTCTAAAGCCTCTCTCGGCGTCCATCCCGGTTGCCGGTAGACTGCCCACCGTCGCGCTACCAGTGCCGCCGCGGTGATACTCCCTCCTTTCTCTCTCTGGCCGTGGGGCGAAGATGGCGATTCCCGACAGATTTAGTCGATCCCGTCGATCTGTTTGGGAAGACCGCCGGAGCTCTAGGGCGGAGAGACTTGGAGGAGTGTGGCCAGTGGCTTGTAGCGGCTCGTCGTCTGTGTCGCCCCTGTTCAAGCTCCCCTTTCTCCAGCCATTGTTGACGGGCTCGGCGTCAGCTGTTCGCCGGCGGTTCGGGGCGGCGGGTGTGCTGTGGTTCGTCACTGGAGGTTGGATGAGGAGGTCGGATTCGAGCGTTGGTCGGAGCGATTTTCTTTCCTGGCTGGAAGGTTCACCCGATTGCGGGTCTTCGGTTTTCGCCGGAGCCTGGTCTCCGGTAGCTCGGCTTAGCTGGGGTGTTGGGTCGGGTTCATCCTTGCGGGCTGGGTGGATGGGTGATCGTTTGGGGCTGGGTTTGGTCCCTTGGGCGGAGTCGGTGCGGCTGAGCTCGGATATCTGTCGTCCCCTTCCTCCTCCTTCTCGATCTTGAGTCTGTGGGAGGTCGCCTGTCTCCAGATTTGGCTAGTGGTGTTAGGCAAATCTTGGAAGGCTGTGGATTGGCTAGTGGTGTTAGCCGATTGGGGGACAATTTTGATTTCTTGCGTATGGTGTGCGGGTTAGTTCTTTGGTTTGTACTGAGGTTTGGTACTTCGCCTTGCTAGGCCTTCTGCAGTGGTGGGCGTCGTTTCGGAGCTTCGGAGCTATCCATGGATCTGGCTATGTCTGCTGTCTTTTCCGGATGTTTCTGCGGAGGGAGGCTGCGTGTTCTTTCGTTTTTGTAGTTCGTGTTAGTTGTTCTGAGTAGTTTGTTATTTTGCTGTTGTTTAGTGTTTTTGGTTTGGGCCGTTGGCCTCTGTGAACCGGAGTGTCAACTTGATTTCCCTGTTGGGGCCTGACACTCAGGTATTACCCTGTTGGGGTCTTTGTGTTATTTTTTAGTGCTTTGTATTGTGTTAGTATTTAGGGTATTGCCGAGTATTCTAGCTTTGCTAGTTTTCGGATCTAGACGGTCTTAGGACCTGTCCTCCCAGTTTTCTCAGTCGTCGGTTGTATTATTCAGCTAGTGGCTGTAACTTTGCACATTTGTGCTCTCTTTTATAAAGCCTCTATCGTTTCGACAAAAAAAANAGGCTTATATACAAACTTGATAAAAAATTAATATTTTTTTTTTGTTTGCCAGTAAGTATTTTATTTAATTTTGAAATGGGTATAATCAGCTTTTATAGAAAAAAATTGGTGTTTTAAGGGTCTTCATACCGGTCGAACAATCGATATCGCATTTGATCGGTCAATATTACATATCTATATATATATAATTACTAGCTAATAGAATTTAATAAAACCTATTTAATTTTACCTATGTGGCAATTTAACAATTTTCCCTCCAAAAACCGTTACTATTTGATGTATTTAATCTTTCATTTAATCATTAAATAATTAATACTCATCACTTCAAAATTACAAAAATTATTTTAAACTTTTGATTAATGACAGTTGACCATATAATGTGTTGACCGTATAATGTGATTAGATGTTATTATTATTGTTACATTTAATTTTTTTTTTGAAAATAAAAAATATATTTGAAATTCCTAAATAAATAATAAATAATTCACAAATAAAAGACGAACCAAAATATATATTACATCCAATCAGATAAACGCAATTTAAAAAAAAAATATTCCAACTCTTTTAATTGTAAATTTGGTCTGCAAAAAAGTGAAAGAAAAATAATTAATCATTATATGTACAAACTCACAATAATTTATTTATATCTGTGCAAATGCACAGGTCGAATACTAGTATTTAAATCAATGCTATCACATTCTCTATACACAAGACTTTTAGACGGAAAATTATTTGACATCAATATTACATATATTTAAATCAATGCTATCACATTCTCTATGCAACAAACTTTTAGACGGAAATTTAGAAAGTATGATACAGAAAATATAAATAATCTTATTTATATTTTCTGTATCATACTTTCTAAATTTTCAATTCTTTTAGTTTTAGTGATTATTATTAAGGTTTTTTAGAATTGTTTTATATTTTTAGTAAATTTGATATTTCTATTTTAGATTCTACACTCTGCCAAACACATTGAAATAAGTGTAGTAGTGTCATAGCTAGAGATTTATGCCTATTGGCAGGACACGATTTATATTTGCATGTAATTCTACTTGAAACTATATATAAATATTGTGAAGGGACATCAACACACATAAGAAAAATTCTATCACCTGAATTCTCCATTTTGTAATCTTGATTATGTTTTTTGTATGTATATGATTCTTGGAGAGACACATTTTGGAAAGTTGCTGCTGCTAATATTGCTCATATTGGAAAGTGCCATATCAGTAAGTATTTTTTTTTCTTTTCTTTATTTTTATTATTTATCTATACTTATATTAAAGAGAATCCTATTTACCAAATTTAGTAGCTAAAAAAGTCAACAACATTCATTACCATTACTATTTCCGTGTTATACAGTTTTTATTTAATATTTGTTTTTTTGTTACAATATTTAAAAACAGATATGGTCAAATTCTCTCATCATTAATTACTTTCCACTAATTAAAATTTATTTATTTATTATTTTCTTAGCAAAAACGGACCAACATTAATTGATTTCCTTAAAATGTGGAAGTTGTTGCTTTATTTTTGTACAGAAAATCGGGCTTCATTATAGAAATTTGTTCAATTACACAATGAATTTTCTATGATATAATTATTTTTTATGGGAACTTTTTTTTTAACAGAAAAATATGGCATTTCAATAAGATTTTTGATTTTTTAAGACTGATCGTAATCATGCTATGAAATTGAACATTCCAATATACCTTAACAAAATATACACATGGTGTATACATCAGTTAATAGAAATATAGAATCCTCATATTTATATATATATATATATATGTAATTTTTCTATTACCAAATTTAATTGATAGTTGTTGTGTTATGGGTTTTTTTCATAATTGTTACTTGGTTGTTGTGATATTTAGTTTGGTTGGTGTCGCAAAAATTCTAATCTATATATATAATAAGAATAATCATTACAATACAAATTAGAAAAATATTGATATTAGAAGAGATTGAGTTCATGGCTTTTCTTAAATCAAAGTTGTTTAATTAGTATACAAATTAAATTCTAAAAAAATATATGTGTATATTTTGTACATTATTTATACACTATTTAATTTTAAATTTATTTACATATTTTAAATTGATTACTTATATAAATAATACCAAGGTGCAATAAATATATTTCATTACATAAAATAAAAAGAACAAGAAGACGTGTAACTTGTATAAATTTATAAATAATAATGACATTATATGATAACAGAGTTTAATAATTAACTATTACATAGTGAATAAGAATAAGTAAAATTATTATTTTTTCTTATATCAAAGAATAAATATATATAATAAAATTAAATTTATATTAGTATAAATGTGTTAGTGAGATAATATATTAATTATTTTACAAGTTAGCCCTAACATGCTCACGTTTAATGTTCTGACTAATAAAACAACGCTGATTAAAAGATGTAAAAAATAGATTACAACCCTATTTTTTCAGACTTAACGATGATTAAAAGAGGTAGAAAATAGATGATAACTCTTTTCAGACTTAAACGAGGCTTAACGGTGATTAAAATAGGTGAAAAATGAATAATAACCCTTCTCAGACTTAAACGGACAGAGCCTGTGAAAATTAATTCATTTAATATCTCTCTCCCGTGCATCGCACGGGCTACGTACTAGTGGATTTTTAAAATGAGAGTAGAAAACTAATTAAAGAGGAAACAATGTCTTTCTGAATTTATATATTTCAGTTACTTCAAAATGCTCTATGGTCTTTGACAAACATTAACTTCGAATGTCGGCTTGAGATATATGATATTTTCTAAGAAAGATAATATAACTTCAACGTATTTTGTTATCCATTCTCCATTCCATTTGACATTTCATTGATATCGAGTAATTCATTTAATTCATTTATTTAACTTGAAATTGATAAATAGTACTTCTCCTATTTATAATAAGTGTCGTTTTGGGAAGTTCCACACTAATTAAGAATAATTTTTTTGCCAATAATAACCTTCATTAATGAAGATAGAGATGAATGTTTTAAATAAAAGATGAAGAGAATATGAAAAGACGTAGTGTATTTATTAACTAAATGAGGGTAATAATAGAAAAATATATACAAAAGATCCAAAATGACATTTATTTTGGTTAATAGTTGATAAAGTCAAAATGACATTTAAAAAGAATAGAAAGTAGTATATATTTTCTTGTTCTTTGAAATTTAACAGTAAAATATTTTAATAAAAATTTAATGTTCTAATTTCCATTGAAATTACACAAAATTAAATTAAAAAATATTACTGAGGAATTAAATTTCTTTGGATTTTAGTGATTCATGCAACAATTTTTCCAACTTTAATTTGTTGAACTTTCCTTGAGCATATGCCACTTTTTTAGTAGTTTTATGTCAATATAAACAAAAGTTTTATAGAGTCATTTGATTGTGAATGGTTGTATAATCTGTGTGGTTACTCATTGATATTTCCATAGAAATAGTGAAAGTTTGATGACAAATGTCAAAACACAAACTCTTAAGATAGCTTAACCATTAGACGAGTCGTCTCATCATACTATATGAACAAAATTACATTCTTATACTATAAAATGATATACTCTCTCATACTTTGATGTTCTAATAAAAATATGAATATTGTAAAATAATGTAAGTCGGTTTAATGGTTAGACGGATCAAATAAAATACCTGTGAAATAAATATTGAAGTACGAGGGAGGTGCAATAAGACTTGTAGCTACAAAGAATTTATACTTTTGGAGATTTCAAAACTAACATGAATAGAAGTGCACAAATAGTTAATTACCGAAAACAGTTCTTGATCCTAATTAGAGACAAAATAATAACCTTAAGAAAACATGGTTAATGATATATTTCTCCTATTTTCCTGTACATTACAATAGCTATAAGCCATAGTTTTTAAACCCGGCCCGGTGATCAACCCGGGTAGGTTCTCGGGTCCCCGGTTCAACCGTTGGGTCACCGGGTCAATTGCTGAATCGGATAATTAATTTTAAAATTTTTAAAATTATATATAGAGTATTTTTGTTATATAAATATATATAAAAGTAACAAAATTAAATGTTTTGTGTATAAAATTTGTATATTAAAATGTTAATAATATGTATCTCATGATAAATATTTACCATATAAACATATATACATATTTTTATTTTTAAAAAAACAAAAAAATAAAAAATATATATGGACCGGGTCAACCGGGTTGACCCGGCCGGGTCAATGCCCCGGGTCGGCCGGGTCTCTGTCGGGTCGGCCGAGTTTTGACCGGGTTTGACCGGGTCCTTGGTTGCCCGGTCCAAATACTCCACCCGAATCGGTTCCGGCTCCGAGTCGACCGGGTCCTGAGTCGACCCGCCGGGCCGGTCGGGTCTCAAAACACTGCTATAAGCCCATATTATGTCAAATGTTTGTCAAGTCGTTGACATATCAATCCACAGTGTACATAAAACATATGAAGCCGCCAAGAGTCAACCTCATCAAACCTTCTATATATTTCCCTACATTATACTTCTTTTCGTTGCATCGTACTCATTTTTCATTCAAATAAATATCTTTTGCTTTTTCAATCATTTTCCTTCCCTCCATTCCTCCTTGAAGCACAGATCTAAAGCCTTATGTCAATCATACCTTTTCATAATTTCATACAAACATTTTTTTTTTTTTTCATTAATCACAGGGTCGGTAAAAAAATCGCGCAAACATGATGGTCCTAACCCGAAGTCAATCCCTGAGAAGTGGAGACTATTTGGAAGGCATGCTCAGCGACTACAAGCGCTACAAAGACAACAACAACAACAACAACTTCAAAATGCGGGCCCAAAAGGGGCCCTCGGCCAAGCTTGTCACAACCCTCACATGCCTCCAATTCGTATTCGCCCTCTACGCCACCTCCCTACTCTACTTCATGAGCCCCTCCATCAACCTCACTTCCCGACTATCCCATCCCTGGCGCCAGCTCAGCACAATCCCGCAACGCAATCAAATGACCAACTCGTCCCTGGCCACGTGCGAGCACGAGAAGATCGACTTCGAGCAGAAGAAGTCTAGCGACGCCCTCATGACCAAGCTCAAAACAGAGCTCTACAGGGAAATCCTCGACTTCCAGAGCACCAGCATAGGCACCGAGACTCTCCCCCAGCTCCTGGCCATGAAATCCAGGTGGGACATGAGCCGCGGGCCCCACAACACCCCTAAGGTCACCGTTATCTTGAACCACTTCAAGCGCAAGACCTTGTGCGCGCAGCTCGACTCATTACTCCACCAGACACTACCCTTCCACCGCGTGTGGGTGCTCTCGTTCGGGAGCCCCAACGAGAAGTCCCTGAGAAGCATCGTGGGCGGGTACAATGACTCGAGAATTAGTTTTATAAGCTCGGGTTACGACTTCAAGTACTACGGGAGGTTTCAGGTGGCCCTGCAGACGGAGGGCGATTTCGTCTATGTACTCGATGATGATATGATACCGGGGAGAAAGATGCTGCAGATATTGTCCCACGTGGCGGGGATTGACAAGTACGTGAACTCGGTCTTGGGAAGTATTGGCCGGATTCTGCCGTTTAGGCAGAAGAAGGACTTTACTTTCCCGAGCTATAGGAAGTTCCGGTCAAAGGAGGCTGGGCTTTACTTGCCGGACCCCGCTTATGATATCACGGTCGATAGGATTGTGCGTGTTGATTTCCTGTCGAGCTCTTGGTTTTTGTCCTCGGAGCTCGTCAAGACGCTTTTTATTGAGACGCCTTTCACTTTCGCGACCGGCGAAGATTTGCATTTGAGGTACGGGTAGCTTCGTATGATTTGCATCAGTTATCTTTCAGAATATAACATAACAACCTCTTGAGATGCATTTATATTAAAAATGGAAAAAAAAATATTAGATTTCTCTCTACTCAAAAA